ACTGGATTCGCTAGCCGTATAGCCACTGCTTCGGTTGTTGCAAGCACCCGTTAGCGTAGGCCCTTGGAGAAAGTTAGCTGGTGTCCGGCAGACAACCTGAAAGGCTTCGATAGTATCGACTCGATGAGTCCTATCGACAAGATGTGCGAGAAAAGAACGGGAGATGGATCTAGTTTTACCCTTACTTAACCAGGCCCGTATGTGCTCACGAACCCTCTTTCCCAGGCGCCTCGTTGTTCGGCCGATGTATGCTGCTCCACAGGAGCAAATGAAAGAGTAAATGCACATGGATGTGGCCTTCAACGGGGATCGGTCTTTATTTCGCAATCGTAGTAGGGAGAGTTCGTGAAGAACACCCGTAAATTCGCCGTGGGAAAAGTGCTTGCAATTTCGGTCCTCAGGCGTCGTCTGACGAGCTCGCTTGTTGCATCGCCTAGAAAGGCCAGTCCTATGAACACGTCTTTCTTTTCTGCCGTTAAGGTAACACGCTTTTTGACGCGTTCGCTCATAATTCTGTGAGTAAACCTTTCCGGGTATCCATTTTCGATAAGTGTATGTCGCAGGTGTTGGAGTTCTGTTTCGACAGTTTCAGGAGAGCAGATCTGTCGTACTCTAAGTGCTAATCCCTAGACTTGATTTCGCTTTATATTTAGGGGAACAAAACTGTGAAAGTTGGTGCATTGTCCTGTCCAGATTTTCTTTTGGAATACATTACGTAGGATAGATCGTCGTCCACTTCAGTTTCTGCAAAATTTCGTCTTATATTTAGTGTAACAAAACTATAAAAGTTGGTGTATTTGCGCATGTCTCAGACTTGTTTACAATTACTTATGACTAAGGATTCCCGACGGAATTGGAAACGTCAGGACAATAAAGCTCTTGTTGCAGTGATCGCTTCTTCTTCTGAGTTGGTGTATTTTTAAACTTCGCGACCAGGGCGTCATTGTCAGCGTTATAGTCTGTCAAACAGAAGATATCATCCACATATCGACCGTAAAATGCAAGGCCATTGATGGTGCCCCTTAGACTCGTTTTTTTGATCTTGCCCATAAAAACATTTGCGAGGAACGGGCCTGTGAGAGCCTGCTGCGTTGAGTCATTCTGCTTTCGCCATGCCAGGGCATACATCCATGCCCCGTCACCTTTTCCGCGATTTATCGAACTTTCCCACGTTATCGACCCACTCGCCGCCTAATACGCGCGTGCACCCAAAGATAATCGACACTTCCGCCTCGTCTGATTGGCTGCTTTCGAATTTGAGCCACCCATTTTTTTGCTCTCCATTCACGTGGGAATT